TTTTTTTTTTTTTTTTTTTTATCTGAAAACAAAAATAAATTTTGTAAAGGATATAAGATATAGTTGAAACAAATTTAATGTTGGAAGTATTTTGGCCAATTTAAGCATTTACGGAGAACCGGAGAAAGACGAGACCGCGGGAAGGTCGCAGTTGCAGCGGAAGCAGAGCAGACGGCCAAGCCATGGGAGAGGATGCGTATACCAGATAGCAGATAGAGGTACTCATCTCATATGGAACCCTAGTTCAATGACCTCTTGTATTTCTTCCATTCACTCGATCTTGGAACAAGATTTCATTGTTTAGAATCACTGCTACACTTGATCGGAAGAATATTGGCAGCATGGAACGAAAAGTAGCTCAGGTGAACGAAATCGAGCTTAAAGGAAAGATTAGAGTAGAATAAGCTTTTGGCCAGTTGCATTTGTACTGAATATAGGCGAAAAGATAAACCATCAACTTTCTGGGAAATTGTTGCGTTAGAGGATGTCTGGATGAGATACCATAGGGTTGATCATGTGAATTGTTCCTTGTACTGCTCGATGACTGTAGTGTATTATTTTGCTTGGAAAATTTTTATGATACTGTAGTATCGGGCTGTTGAATCATTTATATGGAGCAATTGCAAGGCTAGTTTCTGTTGAATCATTTCAGCTGCTGTATTTTAGGATACGAGTGGTTCAACCTAGTCATTCCATAACATTCTCTTGTTCATTGCTTATTCACACCAATATTTAATTCTATTCACGTACCTTGTTTTTGGGTCTGGCTTGGAAGAATCTGGGGCTAATTGATTTTCCTTAAAGAAAAATATGGGAAATGGAAGTCTCCCTTCTCCTTATGCGATGTGAAGTGTGGAGTACATGGTTTGTAGATTTAACCGATTCTGCGAACAGCATACTTCAAGCTAATGTTCAATTGTTGGCTCATGCAGCAGGAAGTGTAGCGAGGTCTGGCCTTTCAACATACTCTGAAGCACCTCCTTTGACATCTTACCCTAATTCGACCTCTATTGACCAATGGTACATCCCTCCTGATGATTTTCAGAAACATGTAAGAATTTTATCTTTAGCATAAAATATATTTATTTAATGAGTGCTTTACATGACTTGTGACTGTCGAAAAATTCATCAGGACCGGTAGCTTATGGATATACTGAAGTAGGAACCATTAGTAATTACCCGGAACCAGTTATTGGGGGCGGTTTGAGTGCAAAAGGCTACAGATCTCCATTTGAAGATTCATTAGCAAGTCAAAGACAAGATATTGCAGTGGGCAGTAGTCCAGGACTGATGGATATGGCAGACATAGGTCATGAAAGGGCCAATTCTCTTGGTCTCAGAACTGCTGATTGCGATCCAATTTCGTCTCGGGAATCAAACATTATTTTCGTTGATGGACTTCCTACAGATTGTACTAGGAGAGAAGTAGGCCGTATCCTTTTGCCTCATGTGCTTACTTTTGTTACTATTTCTCCTGTCTCTCCAACTTTATTTACACCCTGTGCTTTAATTTTCCTAGGGTGTAGGCAGCATCCCAAACAAGTTGAGCTTCTGTTAAAACTTAAAACAACCATTGTTGTCTTCTTGATGTCACTTTAGTCAAAGAAAATAGGACGTAAATTGCAATAGACAGAACTATTGTCACGTAATCATGTTTTGTCATATCTTAACTTCGAATTGTAAGATCTTTTCCGCCCATTTATTGGCTATAAAGACATCAGAGTTGTTCACAAGGAGCCCAGACGGGTAAGTTATCAGGCTCCCTTTACTTTAAAATTTAAACTATGGAGGCATGTTTTACTACGATAAGGCCTTCATTGGCAATTAACAACTGCATGCACTCTATGGTGGAGGTCCTGTTTATAATTATTGTGTCCTTATGCTCAGATTTTATGGTATTATTTTTCTTCTGTCATATGTTCTTAAACGTCATTGTACATTCCTTCTGTTATAACGAGTAATTGAACTGCAGTGTGGAGATAAGGCTACGGTATTATGTTTTGTCGAGTTCATTGAAGCAAGATATGCCCGGGCTGCAATGGAAGCTCTTCAAGGTATTGTATGATTTGTTCCTCTCTGTACGGGTGATAATCTAAGTCAAAACGTAAAGATAAATGCTTGAAGAAACTGAAAACGTGCAGCAGTATTTAGGGATTCTTATTGTGTATTGCTTGGTACATAAAATTTATGATCTAGTATTTAGCCAAGTATATCTGGCACTACAATTGCGCCGGATTCTAAGACAAAGGATGACCAAACTGTATGATAAACCAAATGTTTCAGGTACTTGGGCACTCCCTCTCTTGAGATCTCTCTCAAGTCCTAAATCACTCACCAAAATAATGCCTCCGTTCTCCTTTCCCACTACCTCTTTAACTAATGATGCCATTGACATTATTTATGAACGGACACTCGATCGATGAATTTCTCTAAACGAACTAGGACAACTCTTAAAATGCTTCATATAAGTTTAGATAGTCTGATGAATGATTTTCTGCAGGTTACGAGTTCGATGACAAAAAAACTGATTCCCCTGCTTTGAAGATTCAATTTGCACATTTTCCTTTCCGCTTACCATCTAACCACGATGACGGGCGATGAACTTACAAGTATGGTTTCCTGTTAGGTGCCCTGTGGATCCTGTGAAATAGTAGAAGTTTATTCCCAGGCAGAACATAGAATAAAATGGTTCAAATGAAGCATTTGGCAAAATGGTGGTTATCACCTGTTAAAGATCACGTATTTGTTTAGATTGCTCTCAGTTAGTATCTAACTATATCTCTGTTAGGAGTTAGGAGTTAGATTTAGTTTTTGATTTGATTTAGTTTTGATTTGATTTTGTTTTGATTTGTTTACTGTTACCAGATTTTTTTGCAGATTCTTAGGTAGAGTTTCTAAATATCTTTTTGTATTCTCGGTATATATATAGAGCATTCTTGCTCTTCATAATTCAATCTTCTCATCAATCATTCAATCAATCCCTATTTCACTAACTATTGGTATCAGAGCTGTCTTCTTAAGGGATCTGTGAGATCAAAATGGGAGAATCAAGTTTTTCAGCCGTTGCACCACCAGTCTTCGATGGAGACAATTATCAAATGTGGGCAGTTCGTATGGAGACTTATTTGGAGGCCTTGGATCTTTGGGAAGCAATAGAAGAGGATTACGAGGTCCCTCCGCTTCCAGCAAATCCTACTGTAGCACAAATCAAATTACAGAAGGAAAAGAAAACAAGGAAATCAAAGGCAAAAGCTTGCCTATTTGCCACTGTATCTAAAATGATTTCATGCGAATAATGTCCCTCAAAACAGCAAAAGAAATCTGGGATTATCTCAAGGCTGAATATGAAGGAGATGAGAGGATTCGTGGAATGAAAGTCCTGAATTTGATCAAGGATTTCGAGTTGCAGAAGATGAAGGAGTCAGAGTCGGTAAAAGAGTACTCAGACAAACTTCTCAGCATCGCCAACAAGGTGAGATTGCTTGGTTCTGTATTAAATGATTCCAGGATCGTTGAAAAGCTGCTAGTCACTCCTCCAGAGAAGTTTGAAGCCACCATTACTACTCTGGAGAACACCAAAGACTTGTCAAAGACTTCTCTTAGAGAGCTCTTGAATGCTTTAAAAGCGCAAGAGCAAAGGAGGTCTATGAGACAAGAAGGGGTGATTGAAGGCGCCTTACTTGTTGAGCATCAAGACAGCCGCAGGTATAAAAACAACTAAACTTTCAAAAATCAATTGACGTATGGAGATTCATCTGCCAATTATCAAAAGACAAAAGGAAGAGGTTTCAAAAAATCCTATTCACCTTGCCGCCATTGTGAGAAGAAAGGTCATCCACCATACAAGTGTTGGAGAAGACCTGACGCCTTCTGCTCCAAATGCAATCAACTTGGACATGAAGCTGTGATCTGCAAAGCCAAAGATCCGGTGAAAGAAGTAGATGCACAGGTCGTTGATCAAGAAGAAGAAGAAGAAGAAGAAGATCAATTGTTTATGGTCACTTCTTCCTCAAGCAAAGAATCAAGCGAGAGCTGGTTGATTGATAGTGGGTGCACAAATCACATGACATATGACAAGGAGTCTTTTGAGGAATTAAGAGACACCGAAGATAAAAGAGTGAGGATTGGCAATGGTGAACACTTGGAAGTCAAGGGAAAAGGCACAGTAGCTATAACAAGCTATGAAGGTACAAAATTTATTCCAGATGTTTTATTTGTGCCTAAAATTGATCAAAATCTCTTGAGCGTTGGTCAGTTACTTAATAAAGGCTATAAAGTATTGTTTGAGAATAAGCAGTGCTGGATCAAAGATGCTAGTGACAAAGACTTGTTTAATGTCAAAATGAAAGGAAAAAACTTTGCTCTAAATCCGACGGCCTTTATATCCAGAATTAGTGCAACTGAGATTTGGCACAAAAGACTTAGACACATTCATCATTGAGGTTTGCTTCAGATGCAGTCAAAGAAGCTGGTAGAAGGACTCACTAACATTGATGATGACATGCCTCCTTATCGTGCTTGTAATCTTGGGAAGCAACATAGGCAACCCTTTCCTAAACAGGCATGGAGAGCCTCGAAAAAACTGCAACTGGTTCATACTGATCTTTGTGGTCCTCAGCGAACACCATCATTAAATGGTAATCTTTATTACATTGCTTTTATTAATGAACTAACAAGAATGTGTTGGATATTCTTGCTGAAGCAAAAGTCAGAAGTTGCGGGTGTATTTTGGAAATTCAAAGCCAAAGTTGAGAATGAAAGTGTATGCTTGATTCAGACTATAAGATCAGATAATAGCAAGGAGTACACTTTAGAAACTTTTAACAGGTTTTGTGAAGAGGCTGGAATTGAACATCAATTGACAGCATCATACACTCCTCAACAGAATGACGTCAGTGAAAGGAGGAATAGATTCATTATGGAGATGACGAGATGCATGCTTCATGAGAAGGATCTTCCAAAACGTTTTTGGGGAAAAGCAGCAAACACTGTTGTGTGCTTGCAAAATCGAATTTCAACAAAAGATGTGAAGGACCTGACACCATTTGAAGTTTGGTATGGTTACAAACCTTTAAAGTTCGTTAGAGTATTTGGGTGTCTTTGCTTCACGTACATTCCACAGGTGAAGCGTGATAAGCTTGACAAATAGTCAGAAGTTGGCATCTTTGTTGAGTATAGCACTATATCCAAAGCTTACAGAGTTTTTCAACCACATACTAGTCGTGTTATTGTGAGCCGAGATGTTTATTTTGCTGAAAATAAACAATGGAATTGGGAAGGACTGACGAAGGTGAATCAGATTTCTAATGCACCAAACAATTTAACCTTTGGTAGCATGTTAGAAGAGTCTGAAGATGAACGACAAAAAGATTCTGAAGATGAACGACACGATGCTTTGGTTGATGATGCACCTGTCAGAGGAGGAGCTTTCGGTGATCGAGAAAAACAAAATCTGGGAGTTGGTTGATTGACCTCTAAACAGAAAGATAATTAGAGCAAGATGGGTGTTCAGAAAAAAGCTTGGAGTTCACAGCATCTAAACAAGGAAGAGTGTTAAAGATCACGTATTTGTTTAGATTCTCTGTTAGGAGTTAGGAGTTAGATTTAGTTTTTGATTTGATTTTGTTTTGATTTGTTTACTGTTACCAGATTTTCTGCCGATTCTTAGATAGAGTTTCTAAATATCTTTTTGTATTCTCGGTATATATATAGAGTATTATTGCTCTTCATAATTCAATCTTCTCATCAATCATTCAATCGATCCCTATTTCACTAACATCACTCTATCTGATCTTACAACAGTTTTCAGTTTTTGATGTGGGTCGGGATGAGCCCAGAGAAGAATCCAATAGCCATTTTCCGAAAATCAAAATCATGTTTGGTATTGTCATTGATCAGTGCGACTTTTTTCGTTTCTGTTTTTGGCTAACAAGCTGTAGTCAGATGACTTCTTAATCTTGTTCTGCCTTGTCAGGTTTCAGACATCTTCTGCTTTGGATTATGAAAATGACACAGGGATAAAGATTCCTGACGAAGGTAATAAACTGTATGTGAATGATGATTATTTTCACATAAATCCAACCCACACCCAAAGTGGGGTATTTCTGAGTTATAAATTTATAACCCATGTGAATATATATAAATCTTTTGTCTCAAGAATAGTTTTACAGAGAGGGGGAGGACAAGGGGTCAAAATTCACATTTTTCAAGCTTGTGGGGTTTGAAAGCTTAGAATTTCCTATCACAAGGGATACAAAGTTAAATTCCATTATCGAGTAATTATAGGTGAAGATCAAACCATCTACATTTAAGATGAAAATTGAAGTTTTATTGACTAAGTTACGTTAGAATTATAGTTGACCTTTAAATATTGATATGGTTACGTGCTCATTTTTAAATTGTTTTATGTTCTTTTTATATTTATTTTTGTGACACTATTTTTATTAATAGTTTATGTATAGATCTAGTTTATATATATAATAATTATGAATGAGCAGTTGATTGAAAATAAAAGGAAGATAATCTTTTTAATTTATCTCTAAGCTAAATGCGCTTAGAAGCTATGTATGGAGCATAATTTAATCTCATAGGTTTAGTCTTACAATCGTGTTCTATTTGATTCCAAGATCATAAATTTATTGGTATCTCAAGTTTGAATTCAATAACTCTCTGACTTTTGATTATTTTTAAATTATGCAAGTTTCAAACAAATGCTTCAAGACCTGCCTTGGGGCCTGGGGATACCAATTAAAGCTGTTCCAACTAAAGCATTGACCGTGATGGAAACCCCAAAAAATGGAGCTGGTGCAGGTACGTACACACCCACATTAAAGGGGTAAAGAATAAGAAGGAAGCTTTTAAAAGAATTGAACATTTCATTTAAATTCCATTCTGTCTGTCATGTCTAGGAATCTAACCTGTATATGGCTCTAAACTACAAATATTTCTTTGTGATTTCAATTTCATAACAAGAACATATGAAAAAATAATTTAGAGAAGGGGAAAAAGAAAAAAAAAAGGAACCCCATTAGTGAAATGGGCAACAGCTTCAGGCTGTGAAACGAACAGATACCCAAAAAGGATTAGATTCTGAGTTCCTTCGCTAAAGAAAAGAAGTCCCTGCAAGGCCATGGTGCAGCAGATTATGAGCAATGGCATCTCTGGCTTTCATGGAGGACACTGACCTCAAAGCAACTTCAGGAGCCATTTCATCATCTTGAAGCTCTGTTGAGAGTTCTCTATCCATTTCTTCATTCCCCAGTTCACAAATATTGTGGAGAACACAGCAAGCTCCGAGCACCACCGGCAAGTCCTGAAGCTTCACCTCCGTCCGCTTCTGCAGGCAGCGCCACCGTCCCTTCAGCCGAGCAAAGGCATCTTTAGCCACCTTCTGAATCTCCCCAATCTTCTCGTTGAAAGCATGTTGAGTCCAGGTTAAATGTTGCTGTGTATAAGGTACCAAAACCCAGTCCAGTAATGGGTAACTGGAGCCCCCAACAATCCAAACCCCCTTTAATAGTCCCCCGTTTGCCCTTTGAAACAGAGCTGATTTCTCTAGAACTTGATCGTCCGGCATTGATCCCGGCCAACCGATGCACACGTCGGTGAACACCCCTCTCGGATCCACAACTCCTTGGACTGTAATTGAATATGATGTTTTTTGATTTCTCTCTGTGTGGCGCTTGTTGAAATAAGCTGCGACGCTGATTTTGGGGGCGATGATCGGAATGTGTGTGGTGTACATTGAACCAACGACGTTAGGGATCCCGGAAATTGATTCGTATTCCTCTTTGATTCTTCTCAGAGTTTCTTCCTCCGGCCATTGCAGGTGCTTCGGCATTAGCACTGTTCTAATGGCGGTGCAGACCTCGAGTATCAGTTTATGGCAGGTGGATATACCTAACCCGAATTTCTTTGATACGACTCGAAGGGGGTCACCGGTGGCTAATCTCCATAGACAAACGGCGACTCTTTGCTGGACGGGAATGGCGGTTCGAAGAGTCGTGTCCTCCTTGGCTATGGCGGAATTAAGCTCTTCACAAATCATATCAAAAGTTGCCCTTCCCATTCGGAATTGCTTCTTGAATTCTTCATCGGGATAATCCGGACTGTTACATTCATCCCACCAGGCTTTTGACCTGTCTTTTACCCATAGTCTCCGGTGATGTCCGCCGCCATCGCCGCCGCCGCGTTTGCTTGATTTGACGATTTCGATCTTCTGTAATCCATCGGAAGCTGCTGCAACCGCGACGGAGTTGGCTGCTAATCGCGATTTCTTTCGCTTCAATCGGTCGGATTCTTCGACTTCAGAGTAATAATCTTGAGCTTCTGAGTAGAAATCATCCATGGCTTTCGTCTTCTTCCTGTGATTAACCTCCATCGAAACCTTCGCCTCCATGGAAGCTCTGTCGTGTTCTTCCTGCTCATACTTCTCCTGTTCATCCAACAGCAACAGAGAAGTAACCAATCCCTTCAACTCCTTTCCTCTGCCATTTTTTCCGATTGAACCATCGTCTTCATCGGCTTCATCCCCTCTGTTCCTCTTCCTCGCACCGCCGTTGGTGGAATCATTCATCGGGGAAGAAGGGTCAAGAAATTTGAAAGAAACGAAATGAATTACGGGTTTGGTGAGAAAAAAAAAAAAAAAAGGGTTTAGAAATGGAAAAAATGGAATTGTGGTGAGGGTTTTGTTGCTAATTCTTCTTCAACATCTTCCCTTGGAAGTTCATGATTACAGGTTTGACTCACCAATGTGAACACACAGATTACAGACCCCAAAACGCCGAAACAAACCCACAACGCTTTTGAAAATCGAAATACAAAATTATAAACAAAAATATATGAATAAAAAAAAGATTGAAGAAGATGGGTGGATCGTCATCGTATGGCGGAAACCACATAATTTATCTGTGGTGGTCGGTCAGGACACAACTTTGGTTATTCCAAATCCAAACTCAACGTCCTTTTATTATTATTTATATATATATATATATATATATATATATATATATATATATATATATATATATATATATATATATATATATATATATATTTT